AAAGGAGAAACCCCCTGTTTCTGGAGCCACGAAAAGAGACGGCTCTCGGATTATATTGATGGCCTGCCTTCCTCTTGCGGTAGAATTCGGGGATGGGTACTGAGGATGATGGGTGTGTGGCCCTCCGGGTCTTCGGTTCTTCCCTCTCATCATCCTCTTTCCCCCGGGCTATTTTGAGTTTGAGGATTGTAGCCCTTTTGTCTTTAAAACACCACAACATTTTTGTCTCTTGTGTATTTTGTTTCTTTGTTTGTTTGTGTCGGATATCCCTTTGTTACCGTACTTTTTGATTTTGCCCTTGGATCTTTCAGTCGTTGGACCTGGCTGAATACAACATCCTGTTCATGCTGAGCTTTACGACCCCGGCCTTCGATTCGGAGGTGGCCCCCTCCTTTGGGACGCTCCTGGGCACCGTCAACGTGACCCTCAACATGCTCGGGGAGGTAAGAGTGGATCAAACCCGCCCCCCGACGCCGCGGAAGACCCCGTCGCTTCAGAGTAACGCTGGCGAGGGGCTTCCGCAAAGGAACGAGGCTCGGCTGTGTTTGTGTTCAGAGATGGGGCGTCTCGAAACCTAAGGGGATGGAGGCTCATACCAAAAGACAGAGGGAAGAAACGGGGGTATGAGGGGGAAGAAGGGGCTGCCCCAGATTTTAGTCCCCAAGGACAGCCGGGGGCGAGGAAGCCGATAACCACCACCACCCCGTCACTTAAGAGGGTGTTCTGGTGATGGTGTCCAGCAGACCTGGCTTTCAGAAGTCAACCTGGGGATTACAGGGTGGGTGCTCACCCAGAGAGGGGCAAGGCCAACCCCTGACCCCCATGCTTTGGAGATACGCTTTTACGAATGCACCAGGACACCCCCATCTAAGGGGGAACGATTCTGAGTCCCCCCCTGCAGATGCTGCAATATGTGGATGATCAATTCAGTTCACCCTGCCTTTGAGCAAGGACAGGACGAAAGACACGATGCCTTGCGAGGCCCGCAGCCGGGAAGCCCTCCGGAGAAAACGAGGGGGAGCTTCGGGCAGGCCATTCCCAAAGCCCCTTTAAATCCAGGGACTTTTGGGGAACGGCGTCTTTCTCAGCGCCAAGATTTAGAGCGGTTCCCTTGGTGCGTTGCTTTTCCCATTTCCAAAAAAAACGTTCCGCCTGTAAACCCTCGTCAACTCCGGCCGCAGTGAGGCTTCCCTGGTGGTCTGAAAACCGGGATTGTGGCTCAAGCTTTTCTTTGTTCCCACAGCTGGATAAGAGGAAGGAGCCTTTAGCGGCAGGACTGGCCGCCCAGCAGGAGGAAATGAAGAGTCTCAGGTGGGTCTCTAAATGCATTTACTGCTCCGCAGACAGAACGTTCCTCTCTCTGCCTCTCCTTGTGAGACGTGTGGTGTGCTTCTCACCTTGCGTTTCCTGGGGGCCTTTAATGGCAAGTTAAAAAACAACAACACAACAACCCAGGTTGGTTCACTAGCAGCCCTTCTTCCGTTAAAGAGTATTTTTCATGCCCAAGGGGCGTACCGGCTGGCTTCGGCCCTAACGGGGTGGTCTGCAGATGAAGTGAATGGATAAACAGGGGCGTACCGGCTGTTTAACATTTGTTTTAGCCTGCTGTTAAACTGCCCGAGAAGAGGGCTTTGGCCCTAATGAGGTGGTCTGCAGATGAAGTGAATGGATAAATTAATGACCTGATCTTCTTCGCCAGGTCTCTGCTTATGTTTACAATGGAAAACTGCTTCTACCTGCTCATCTCCCAGGCGGTTCGGTACCTCAAGGACCCGGCTGTTCACCCCCGAGACAAGCAGCGGATGAAACAGGAGCTCAGCTCGGAGCTGGTAAATTAATTCTAGGTCTTGTGTTGCATCAAAGCCAAAACACTTGTGTTCGTGAAAGCTCAAACAGCCGTTTGCGTGGATGATTCCAGATGCTCGGCCTGCGGGCGCCTTTTCTCCCCCTTTTTTTCCAAGGGGCTGCGCACAGACCAGTCTTAAACCATTGGTGTGTTCTTTCCTTACAGAGTACGCTCCTGTCCAGCCTCTCCCGTTACTTCCGCCGTGGGGGCCCCTCTTCTCCGGCGGGTGGCATCCTGCCCTCCCCCCAAGGGAAGTCTTCATCGAAGTTGGGGCCCGAAGGCCAGGAGCCCCTCTTCCAGCTGGTCCAAGCCTTCGTCCGACACGTCCAGAGATAAGTCAGGGGCCCACGCCTCCCAGCCGACCCGAAGCCATCCTTTCTGCCCGCTTCGGAGGCTCACCTCTAAAGGAAGCCTCCGCCCTCATCCCCAGGAGAACACACTGCCGGCGAAAGGGTGCCGAAGGGCCCAGACACCGTGCCTCGCGGAGACAAAAACTCGTTGTGTGTGTGTGTGTGTATGTATGTAAGTAAATCTGGCTTGGCCGTAGTGAAGCGGTTTTTATAGCTCTTGTCCGGCGTAAGTAAATCTGGCTTGGCCGTCGTGAAGCGGTTTTTATAGCTCTTGTCCGGCCTGGGAAGGAACGAAAGACAGCAAGAGAGAGAGAGAGAGAGATGTCTCCTCGAAGCACGGGCCCTATCCTCGGCTTCAGGCACCCACCTCCCGAGTGTTCAAAAGGATGCTGCTGATCTCTGGGGAAGCATCGCTGGGAAGGTAGAGCAGCAGCCAGAGACCATGTTCCAGCTCTTCCCAGTTACACCAGGTGGACCAGTCGCCTCTAACCGGCGTGCAGAGGACGGGGGAGCCTTTTTTCGTTAAAAAGAGGCCGCGGCTGCTGCCTCTTCCAAGACCGGTTCGAACGTCCGAAATTCCACTGCTTTCGTCTCACTTTTTTTTGTACTCCTTGTTCCCTATTTATACAGATTAAAACGTTTCTAAGCAATACCGGAAACGGGGCTTCCGAGTTCTCTCGACGATCGCCACCGGGCCGTCTCTCGGCTTGTCGGTTGAATCCGGGCTTGAATAACTTGAACAGTGGGAGAGAATTTCGGTTGCTCAAGGGCTTGGCCCGACCTGCTTCTAGAGCGACCCAGTCAGGCCGAAAGTGGCTAGGGGGCAAACCCGTGTTTTAGGGAATCTGCCGCCCTGTACGGTCTTAAGCTCCGGATTCAGGCTTGCATGCAGCCTACATAACCGCTGGAGGGGTGGGGACACAGATTCCGCCAGGGGAACAAGCCCATGAAAAAAAAAGAGAGAGCAAGGCGAAAGGACAGGCTGAGTGTTTATTGGCAAAATAATAATAATAATAATCGTGTGCTGAGTCCTTGGTCACAACAGGGTAAATCGCAAAAGCCTCAAGAAACTTCAGAAAGAAAAACGGATCGGTCAGCCCACCAGCTTGGAACGGAACAGAGACCTTTGTCCGCCTTAAAAGCAAATTTCCTTGGCCTGGTCCTCTTCCCACCTCTACACCCCTCCCAGGAGAGAAATATGGCTTACTTGCCACCATTTATCCCTCCCCCCCCCCAAAAAAAAAAAGTCAGGGGAGGCTCTAGGCACAGGCAGGCTGTCCCTGTTTGAACACATTAAGAGCTTTCCCTGTTTAACTGCTTGTATGCAAGTTGAAAAGAGCAGATGGGAAGCCTGGCTCGTGGGGAAGTGCGTGCCCAAGAAGCATCTCTGGAAACCGCCCTGCCATGAACATGGTCACCGACTCCCATCCTTGCCCATTTACAGATTCAGAAGAGGCAGCGATGGGAACTCAGCAATACGACGGGGGGGAGCGGACGTAGCAAACAGGTTTGGAACAGCTCGTCGGGCCCAAAGGATCACGGAGGCCCTTTGTTTATTTTCTTCCAGGTTTTATTAAGCCCATGCTCGCTAGACATTCGCTTCGGTTTTGTCTGCAACAGCCTAGCCCCCTAATTAATAAAGCAGGATGCAGGTGGAGAACGACCCCCTTCTAAAAGGCTTTGGAAATTCCGCTAGAAATCTTTAACGGCGACGTCCCCACCCGCCACGGACTCCGGAGAAAGAACTAAAAGCCAGGCTGACGTCGGAAAATTAAATCAGGGCCACCCACCTCCCTGGGATGCATAAAACGGACAGACACAGAACTCGGAGGGAATCAGAAATGAGACTGCTGTTGATGGACCCGAGGAAAAAGGCACCGCCGAAGAGAACGCAATTCTAGAAAGTTCCCTCGGCGTGGAACCAAAATGCGGAGCTGCATCAGAGTTAAAAAGAAAGGGACTAGTCCTTAGCAAAAAGCCTGGAGGGGGGAGGGCTTAGATGGCCAAGAGGATCCCTACAGGGTTGGCCACCCGCTGGGATCAATGACGTTCCCCGGCATCCTGCAGATGCAAAGGATCGCAACACTTATCATCGCGCCACTAGCTTCTCCGTCGCCCTGCGCCGCCTTCCGTGGATTCAGTGAGAAAAAATCGGATCCTGAAAAGAGAGCAAAATGGTCTCGGGAGAAGTCGCGGTCGGCGTTTTTTTGGGAAGAAAAAGAAAACAAAGGTCAGGAGACTGGAGGGGCGTGAGTCGCGTGGAGAGTCGATCCGAACGAGGGCTTAGCTCAGCAGTTCTAAGTAAGTCACGGGCACCTTCCCTTTCTGGTTGCCTCTCTCGCCCATCAGCCAGTCCGGGTCCATTCCTGGGAGGCTGTACACGGTGATCATCTGGACGAGAGAGAGAAACACATATGCACAGGCATGAGTTAAAACGCCACTTCAACGAGGAATCGGGATCACTTATGCATGGTCTGAAAATGTGTATATATTTTTCCCCCACCTCATCCGAAAGCAGAGAGAGCTCAGTGCTGTCGGCGGCTTCGTAGTCATAAAGGGCCCGGGCTTTCCGCGTCCCACTCGCGGGGGGCTTCACGTCGCTGGGGTTCAGGGCTTCTATGGCCGGAGCGCCGTCGGGTGCCCCAGCGACGGTGGGCACCACGGGGAGGGTGGGTATGGCTGGGCCCGCGGCCGCAGGCATGACGGTGGGAGAGGCAGTGGCCGGCGGAGGGGACGTGGCCTCGGTGTTGCCCACAAACGTGCCGGGAAGCCTGCCGGAGGTGGAACAGAGGAAAGCGTTGGGCCTTCCGGCATGTTGTATCGCCACACAATCTACCCATGGACAAACGCAAGGGGATCCTCAGATCTACCACGCGGGATTGTCGTTTTCTCGGATAAAAGCGACTTCTAAGGAATAAATCCCAAACGGAGGGGTCCGGAAGCCGGAATCACCTTGATGGGGGGGCTGGTCCCAGGGATCACACAACAACATCCACCCACCCACCCCTGTGACAGCAACTACCAGGCACAAGTCTAAAATGCTGTTTGCCCCCTACAAAGCCCTCAACGGCTTGAGTCCAAGCTGTCTCAAGCACTGCGTCTCCCGTAATCAGCCTGTTTGGATGTAAACAACCTTTATTTGCTCCAGCAGGAAGTTAAGAGCAGCTGACATACAAATATCGTCACACACACACACACGTAATCAGCCCGTTTGGATGTAAACAACCTTTACATCCAACCTCCTGTGATCAGCCGATTTGGATGTAAACAACCTTTATGTGCTCCAGCAGGAAGTTAAGAGCAGCTAACATACAAATATCGTCACACACACACACACACACACACGTTGGGACTGCTTTGAAAACTGGTTCTGCACCAAGTCTGAATGGAAGGCTTGCCCTCCTAATGGGCATTTTTTAAAAACCTTGTATAGCATTCGCTCTTAAAATAGCGTTTGGTCTTATCCGCGTTTTTTAGCATCCACTGAATGCTGGGAGTCCTGCTGAATCTGTCACGGACAGCGATTAGAAGAACCCGCTTGACACCCTCCCCACCCTGGGCTGCTCGGGTCCTTTACTCACATTTCTCCTCTGGAGCTGGAAGCCGCGGGAAGGGGGGTGGGTGGGAAGGAGACACAAGAGAGCAAGAGATCAGCCCTTTTCCAGCAAGCTAAACTTCCAGGTTCGACCAAAACTAACTCAACAACTCAATCCACAGCAACACTGATTCCCAGCCGCCCCTACCTGCCCAGCTGCTTCTGTAAGTCCAGCATGTACTGGTAGCACTGGGCATAGTATGTGGCTTGAGCTTCGGCAAACTCGTGGAGACATCGAAGGTGGTTGACCTGAAAAAGGGGGGAGAGAGAAAAATCCATCAAGACACACCAGCTAGAGAGACATCCGGTCGTCCCTGCCCTCTCCTTTCCTTCCCGAGAACAAAGCCCATCCTCCTTCCACGGGAAACTCACGTGTGTGCTACTGATCCCTTCCAACAGGAGACGGGTCACTTCGGCCTGCCTGTCGAATTCCGTCTGGGCCATCCGGAGCTCATGTTCAGCCTGAAAGGCGGGGAGGAGGAAATGGGGAAAAAAAGGTGGATGTCAGGATGGAAGGCTTTTGATCCTCTAGGTAGATCCTGAAAAACTCTGACTCTAGCGAACACTGTACGTCTCATGGTTTCTGGGTCCCTCTAGTAGCCACTTCTGGTAACATCACCTCTAGAAATATATACTTCCAGAATTTTTCTTGTAATATTTTCAGACCATGGATAAGCGAGTCCACGGATATGGATTCCGTGGATACAGGGGTTCTACTGTATATTACACCTATGACTGGACGAGGGACTTAGTTCACTTCCTTTGGGTTGTAACGGCAACTTCTTAGTGGCAGCTATTGTTCTGTGCGTTGCGTGTGGCCTCACAAAAATGGCCGGGGAGGAAAAGATTGAATGTGGCCGAGGCGTGGGTACTGAGAGAGCAGGAAGGGAAGAGGGTACGATCTGCCCACCCCAAGCCAGCTAGTTATTTGAAAGAAAAGCCAATCAAACTCTTATCATGTGCGGCGTACACAGATCACAAGTTTTCCATGCAACACATTCTTAAGCAGCCATCTTTCACCGTGTAACGTGCAAGCAAGGGCCCGCAGTTCATGCACGCATCTCCGGAAGACGGCTTACCTAGGCGGCAAGCTCAGGAGCAACTCTGGAATCCTGACACCCGAGGAGACGTGAGCCCTGAGCTACGAGAACACTGCTTTTGTGTGTCATGTTACGGCCCTTTGGACTTCTGGTGACCCTCTGATTCAAACCGCTTCAACTTCCTTCATCAACTCATGTCGGCTGTGGGAGGCCGGGAGTTCCCCAACACAGATGTTACCGGACCACAGCTCCCATGTTCCTTGAGTCGCCAACGTCAAAGGTGAGGCATCATGGGGACGGTGGTCCCAATAACATCTAGAAGGCCAGGCAATCTCCACCCCTAGTCTATGCGGATGGACGGTTGTTCCCCAGGGTTAAAGAACTTCCCCTATGACTGCTATTTGCTTTTTTTCAAAGTGGACGTGCCACGGATCGGGCCCGCTCCTCCCCAAGGAAGGGGGTTGAGCTGCACCCACTTTGGTGTCTGGGAACCCCTCAAAATGAAGAGGAGACTGGAGGGGAGGGGAGATGGGGACTGTAGTCCTAGGACTCACTCTCCAGTCACCGGTTGACTCAACTTGTTTTTCCTTTACCCAATGAAGCGGACTTGATTTATAACTCAGAACCCTTCCCTTTTTCTCTGTGGGAAAAAAGCTTGTTCTTAACAGGGCCTTGAACTCAGGACTTGGTACCCAAGACTCGGAACTTGGTACCAATGACGTGGTCTTGGACTTTTGCTAGTATTCCCTGAGACAGAGCTGTGTGAACAACAAGTTACAGCATCTCTCGTGACAGGTTTTAAGAAAGGGCAGGCTACTTAAACCAGGGACCACATAAAAAGTATGGTGTTAAAAGCCCGCTGAAAAGATATATAGTTTTTTTTAAAGACACAGGCTTTGCCATTGGGAAAAAACCAAAGGATTTCACAGGATCGGACCACTCTGCGTGTCAACATCACTTAGAAAGTTGTTCTAAAAAGGTCTTCTCATGGTACGGAACCTATTCTAGGGAGAAAATCTGGAGAACCTGCTGCTCTCTAGCCTCCTCACCACAGACGGACACCCTTCCAGAAAAGCAAGGGGAATGGCCTGAAAGTTGGCGGTACTTACTTTTTCCACCTCGTCACTCCAAAGCTGTTGGGGGGCCACAGAGCAAACAGGGAAGAAGGCAGTCAGCATCGGAAGAGACATCACACAGCAACAATCCCCACAAGGACAACAGCCGGCCGGCGGTGGAGACACGTCACAGGATTGCCGTCGGGTCAGATGAAGGGAACAAAGCTGGCCAATCCCCCAGCGATGACGGCAGGCGGCTGTGCTCCCCCAGAAGCGGAGGGCTTATCTGGAAACCCCCCCTTTTCTGTCTCACCCCTCAAATGTCCGGTTGTTTTAAGGATTGCAACGTTCCTCCAGGGAAGTTTCTCGGTGCTGAAGTTACGGCTGTTATGTTTGGGGATGCAGTTTGTGGAAAACTTCCAAGAGACTCACTTCCTACTAGGGAGATGAACTCCAGCAGGCTCTTCCCAGAGGACAATGCAAAGCAGGCGCTATTGTCCTTTATGAGACAACTCTGGGGGATTTGTCCCATTTAATCTGTGACCTGAAATCCTGTCGTAAGACTAGACTTTTCAACTTTGCCCGCTCAGCCTTAGGAGACCTGTTGGGACTTCCTAAAAGCCAGCCTCTACCTCTGACTTGAAACTTAAGCGGGGTAGGAACATTGTACGTATTTCTGAGTTTTTTTTTAATTTAGTAGGTTCACACTGCAGACAACTGAATCTGTGGATACTGATCCCATAGATAGCGAGATCCTACAGTATTTTAATTACATATTGTACAATTTCCAGCAAAGGCCATCGTTATGCGAATTCATCATTGAGCGAGGCACTCGTTAAGCGAGACACCACTGTATTTACATTTTTTGCACGTTTTAACAATAAGATACTGTACTCGTGAGTCTTTTTGAAGAAAGGGGGTCCCAAGGATAGCAACGACAACAGCACTGCTCGTTAACAGACGTGTCTGTGGAAGAATGGTTGAGCTACGAGAACACACACACCCAATTCGTGTGAATAGGAAGCTGCCTTATCCAAGAACCGGTCTCCTCCCTGGCTTACACTCACTAGCCCAAATCTCTGGGGTTCAGCAAAACCGTCTGCACGTCTTTCCTGGGATCCGGCTCGCAGGTTATGAACAAACACACAAACGCAAGACAGCAATATACAACAAATTCAAGCACAGGCAGGAAAAAATAAATACATCGAGAAAGGTATTTAAACTTTCCAAAGGGGTCTTGGGCATTTCTTTCCCACAGCAGACCGTTCTTCCAGCTCCCACACTGGCATGGGCTGTGTGCCAATATTAGATTCGGCTCTTACGGGGAGAGGTAAGATAGAAGGAAGGCATGTTTTCCAGGAGGAAGAACGATCACAAAACACACGATGTATTGTTCTTTTTCAAAAAGCAGCGGGAGGAATTCTAAGTCATATGGATGCCACGGTGGAGTACAAGAAGCTGAGAAGGCCATGGCTTCTCGGGATCAAGAGGGTGGTGGTGAGGAGGGGCAAAGGCGGGGAAGAGTCTCCTTCCAACTTGCAGGGACCTCCTGAGATTCAGAGAAGGTCGTGATATTCCAGGCGTTCGAGAAACGCCGCACGCGAGCCTTCCAAAATACAATGCAGGGGTCCCCAGCATGTGGGGGTCCTCACTCGGAAAGTCAAGCTGTGCAAATAGCATTCGTCCCCGTTTGCAGTTACAAAAAAGACCACTTCCTAAAATTGGAACACAGGGTGACCTGTTTATCCCCACCCCTTGCTTTACGCTCACTTCAACCGAGATCTGACAAGGGCTTCTGTCTGCGCTCGGACGCAGAGCTTGACTTGACACTCGGAAAAAGCATCTTGGCCCTTGGGTTCTCTGTCGTTACACCCCCGAAAGGCCCTTCTCTCCCTTCGCCTCTGTCAATTTATGGAGACCCTAACCGTGCCTCCATCGGTCGCAGGAGTGAAGGATGCTCCGTGGGTTCAGAAACCCCACTGCAGAAAAGAAATGCCCGGTGGGGATTTTCTCCATCCGTGGTGGATCGGCAGGGTTTTCCTTCCCACGAGCAGCCCCATGCATTACCCAGCACAGTGATCTAAAAGGGTCTGGGAGGATTTCGCGTGAAAGCAACACAGATACCGCCAGCCCAAGGCCCCAGCTCCATCTCTGGCCGGACATTCGCGCTCCGCGTGCCGTGCACAGTGCGCCAGCCAGACTGCCAAGCAGACAAACACACCCATACCCAAATTCTCGCAACGCCATCTCCCGTAAAGCCCAGGAGGTCCTCCGCCAGCCACCCGAGCAGCCAAAGCGAGGCGCTTAAGTTTTCAACATTTTAACGAGGGATGAGACATACCGTGCAATCGGAGGTGGGGGGGAGGTAGAAGCACAGAGGAGAGAGTTCAGGTACGCTCAATGCAACATGGGGGGGACACGGGAATATGCAAGGGAGTAGGGTGGGTCACAAGAGGGGGAGATTTGTCTGCTCTTGTCCACTACAGACTCCCCAGCAGAAATGTCAAACGCTAGACACTGCCTGTTCTGGTAAATCCACCCTGGAAATACATAGAAATTGGTATTTCTGGGGTGGGGGTGGGGTTGTTTAATATTTTCAGGCAGCGGGTAAGCGTATCAGCGGATACTGATCTCGTGAATTGTGGGGGGGGTCCTCCTGTACAATTCAGAATGACAGAAAAGCTGAGTGTTCGAGGCTCGCCGACTCTCACGCTCAGATCCCAACTCCATCTCTTCTCCCCGTAAGCCCAGATTGTCCGCTTGTTGCAAAGCAAGACGGCGCAGTTGCTGGACCCTTGAACCCGGGCCACGTTTCTACGCCTCCACTCGACTGGAAAAGCAGTCTTTTCTGCCTGATCTTTCCTTGCAGGGGTCCAGTCCATTGGGGGGGGGCTGAGGGTGGTTAAACCAGCAAACTATCACCCCGGAAAAAAAAATCTTCCCTTTCGTTCAGACGGAAAGGAATAGGAAAAAGTGACCAAGCTGGGGACAGAGTGGGGGCTTGGTAAATCTTAGCCACCGTTGGGGTTTGCTCAACCACGGAAGCCTTGTGAATTCTCAACCGGCCTGCTCATGTCACCCCGAGCATCCTTACCTGCAAAGCCCCCCAGAAAGCCCAGGATGAGGGTCATGGGGGGGCCCACAAAAGGTCCTTGGCACGTTAAAATGTTGAAAACAGCGGCAGGGGGAGAGTTCATGATGGGATTATTTTGGGGGGGGTGGGCAGGAAGAGGACAGAAAAGTCACAGCAGGAATGCCTATTGGCGGGGACGGGGGAGAACGTTTGGTCTTACCGCCGATGCGCTGGCAGAGAGAATGTAATTACGTGGTCTAGTCTCATTAAAGTCGGGCACAGCCTAAGGAAGGGGGGGGGAATAGAGTTTAATATATACAGATCATCTCAAAGGGCCATCAGGGGACACCCACGCTCTGGAGGAGACCCTCGGCCTGGCTAGCTCAGCGGACCCCAGGTGTTGTTCTTGGACTACAACTCCCAGAAGCCTCCACGCCTCGCTGGGCTGGCCGGGATCTCTGGGAGTGGTAGTCCAAGAACATCTGGGGGGACCACCGTAAGGAACCCCGGTGCTATCTAAAAGCTATGTCCAACTTTTTAGGTGAAGATTTTTTAAAAACCGCCAACAGGCTAGGATGCCAAGATGACTTTGTAGACAACCAAATTTTAGCCATAACCCCTTTTCTGCACCGAGCGGGCTCTGTAAATTGTGTGCCATGGAAAATGTTACATTCTAGGTCCCAGATGCAAAATCTATATGTGATTTGTGAACTATACGTGAATTGTGTGTCTCGCAGTGAATGCCAACGTAGGAAGACTTTTCTTAGAGAGTGTGTGTGTGTGTTTCTACATAGAAACACTCAAACGCAATTCCCCCCGGGCCCTCTTTTGATGCTGCGCTGGGACCGCGGACCTCTCAAAGGGCCACAGAAGTTTGGGGGGCCCAGTGAAGAATCCCCCTCCCATCCCCTGAGCATTAGCCGGGGGCTCCCATCGGCTGTCCGAGCCGGGCCGCTGCGTTAGTACAGGTTAACCCTTGCAAAGTTCTCTCTGCGTCCGAAGTTTGGGGTAAAGGACCTAATTAATGACTCTGCTGTAGTAAATCGAATAAAGCAAACGAGGTGGAAATCAACCCCCTCCCATACCATGCCCTACCTCACAGGGCTGTCAAATGTGTGTGTATTTGTATGTGCACTTTAGTGTGATCGGAGGTATACCCGGATTAAAAAGATGTGTGTGAATGGGGGACAGAGAAACAGAATCCAGCTACCCGGAAACAGAGGGTGAGCATGGTGCAGAAAGCCAAGAATATTTCCACCACAAAGTTCTACCTCTGACTGATGCAAGCCACAAACCATTCTATCTTTATATTCTTCGTGTAATGCTCATTTGTTCTTGGACAGACATACCTTGACCCAGAGCAAGAACTTCTAAAGAAATGAATGGCAAATTCTGCCCCAAGAGTGCAGCAGCATGAATAGAGTAGGACCCCCCCATAACCATGGGGGATTGGGCCCAAGCCTTTCCCCTGTGGATGCTGAAAAATGCAGATTATATATATATATATGTATAGCAAACACTATACATATCATAGTCTCTGGCTCTCTCTAGTGGTCACTTTTAGAAATATATATTTCTAGGATTTTTTTCTTGTAAAATTTTCAGACTGTGGATAAGTGAATCAGCAGATAAGATAGTCCTGCAGATTGAATGGTCTTTGGCTTCCTCTAGCGGCCAGTTATGGTAATGACATTGTGGAAATATATTTCTATAGCGATAGCCTGGTCTCTGGCTCTGTCTGGTGGCCAGTTCTGGTAACTCCATCATTAGAAATATATATTTCTAAAATATAAAATATAATTTAAAAAAAAATCAGTCTGTGGATAAGTGAATCAGCAGATACTGAGCCCGCAGGTAAGGGGGTCCTACTGTATACACATGGCCCGGCTTGCTTCTCCCTCCCGCAAATGCACCTCTTGAGCAACCCTTTCAAGAGGTTTCCAAAATGGAAAAGACCGCACTCTTGCAAGAACGTGCAGGAAGACGGCCAGCCAGCGGTTTCCATTGCAGGTCGGACTCTGCACCCCCCAACACCTGCAATGTCACTCCCCCCCCCCATTCAAAGGGCACCCTTTGGGGGGGAGTCCCTGCTTGACAACAGGAATCCCCTTTTTTTAAATTAAAAAAAAAAGGTTCTCAAAAAATGGAAGAGGAACAATGAAGAAGCATTTTCAGGTCAAAAGCCACAGCACTAGTAAGGCAGGATCATACTCACATCTCCCTCACACTGAGCCAAATCACAGAAAAAAAAAAACAAAAAGACAGAATAAAACGAAGAGGTTAGTGGACAAAACAGCAGCAACGGGAAGGATCAGAAATTCAGAGGTTAGGCGCGAGGGCAGGGAAAACCGAACCAGGTCAGGTCAGCTGCGAACATCTGCCAAGAGGATATCAGGAGGTCAAGAGCCAGGAATCAGAAGGGAAGCCTCCGGTGGGGGGGGGCGCACAATAGCGGGGTCGGTTAGAGAACACAGTCCGAGGGGAGCCAGGCTTTGTTTGGTTTCAGTGGAAAAGGGGGTCAGGAAGACGCTGGCGTGTGAAATAACCTACAGAGTTAGAACGGTTTCATACCACTGCTGCCTGCTCGCCGAAAAATTCAGATTATAGTAAATGCTGTTTTAATCGCGAAGTCTATACAGAGATCTATAGACTGGTCTCTGGCTCTCTCTAGTCCTGGTAACTTCGTTTGTAGAAATCTGTATTTCAAGGATTTTTCTTTTCATCTTTTCAGGCCGTGGATAAGTGAATCAGTGGATACTGGTCCCCCAGGTAAGAGGGTCCTACTGGACTGTCTGTTTTTTACTTTTTAATTCTTCCATTGTCAATATCAGATGGGCAGACTATCATAATTTGTGGGGAAGCAAAGAAGAGGGAGCCCTTTCGGTTTCCCATCTTGGACAGCGACCCCTTTCTTCCCCTAGAATTTCTAAGGCAAGGAGGGATCTTTGGGGCAAGTTTCAGTTCTAATCAGCAGGATCTGGGCTTTGACGTTTGTATGACATTCCTTTTGTTCCTCAAATACAAATACAGTATAGTAAGGACCCCTATATCCGCTGGAGATTGGTTCCATGCTGCCCGAAAACCACAGATAATAGCAAACACTCTATATATAGCATGAATCTGGGGTTTTGACGTTTGTATGATATTCCTTTTGTTCCTCAAATACAAATATAGTAAGGACCCCTATATCTGCTGGGGATTGGTTCCGTGCTGCCCGAAAACCATGGATAATAGCAAACACTCTATACATAGCATGGTAAAATAAAAAAATAAAAACAGGGAATTTTTTTTATTTTCTCATGCATTAACAGAACTGGCCACTAGATAGCACTAGATAGCACTTCATAGCATGTTCTCTGGTTCCATCTAGTGGCCTGTTCTGGTAGTACACATGAAAATAGTTTTGTTTTGTTTTTCCTGGATTTTTTCCCCCATTTAATATTTTTAGACTGTGGATAAGTCAAACCGTGGATGCTGATCCCGCAGATATAGGGGTCCTGCTGTACTCATCCTAGCAAATGGACTGTGGCAGAAAAGGAAGCACCTAACTCTGGACAAACTCTCGTTCACAGTTTGCCCCTCACCGAGGGCAGTTCCCGAGTCCGGTTTGGAAGTGAGGGAAGGACGGGGGGCAGGTGGGAAAATTCACAGACGCCGCGTCTCTCTTTCCCTCTCTCTGCAGGGACACTCCATGCAATATAGAACAGATTCAGAAACGGAACACATGACTCAACCTCTCGCATGCATATGAGCAAAGAGCAGGTGGGTGGCAGGAACGGGGAGGGGGGCATATTTGGAAGACGGAGGGGAGTTACCGCTGCTTTCGCTTCAGCCGCTTTGGCTTTCTTCAGCCTGGCTTTGCAAGCGTCCAGATCCAGGCGCCGGTTCTGCAACGGAACTGGCCCCGGTTTGTCAGCATCCTTCAGTGCGATATCTTTATCAGAAACGCATCTCAGATCCCCGGAAACGTGCAAATGTTCAAAAGCCCTCAACCGTTCTTCTGTGTGCCGAGAAGGAAAGAAAAGCTGCAGGGAAGGGAATCGGGAGGGGAAAGAGGTGGCTTTGAACACAAAGCCCGCAGGCTCAGATTCAAATTCCAATCTCCCAGGTGGCGTGATGGGTTTCCGGCTGCATCCAGGCCGGCCTAATAAGGGTATGAGAGTGATAAGGATTTTAGCCACTTCAGCAGAAGGCAGTCACCCAGGGCGTAAAACGCGCGGAAGAATTTCCCATGTTAAATGACTGCAATCTAGGACTAAAAACTCATGGGGGGGGGCTTTTGATCCAAAAGGGTCATTGGAGAGATGAGGCGTCCATGAAACTTTCGGCTAGGATCCCGCCGTGGCCATCTGCGACACGATCCGTGGATCTTTCCTGGGTGGCTTTCGTCTGCACAGAGGGGGTGACGCTGTTGATGGATATTTCTACACACCTTTGCTTCAGAGCGGAATCTCCCACGCTCCCTCTTCCCTTCACCGTTCCATTCAGGAACAAGGGACCAGCCAATTTATTTTTTTGGGGGGGGGACTCTTAGGATCTCCTGGCTTCCGGGGGATGCGCCCAGGAGAGCCACAGAGATCGGGCGAAGAACCGATCACACGCGCCCTGAGATGGGACCGCCGGCCGATGCTTTGCCACGTACCGAAATGGTTCGCCAGTCCCCTTCCAGGAAGTTGCGCAGGGGCGTCAGAAAGTTGATGGAGGCCGAGTGGATGAAATCCCGTTCTGCCCCGCCCAAGCGCCGCTCGGTTTCCCCGACTTTGATCAGGGTCTTCCCTACGAGAAACAGCAAGTGACGGGGCATGAGGGGCCTGCATGGCATTCATTTTTACACACAAACACACACACACACAGAGTCTTGGCTTACTTGTGGAAGGACAGCCAAGACGGGGCCCAGCCTGGCTTCCAGTGGCATGGAGTTCCAGAGACTAAAGGAGCAGCCACAGGGAAGGCAGGAGGTTCTACTGTAATTAATTAGTTGCAATTCACGACCACAGTCTACACAATTACACTTATAGTGGTGTAATTCCATAATCAGATTCTGGCTGCTCAAAAAAACAACAAAAACAGAAAACAAGTCCATCCCATTTTTCAGCCACACCATTTCCCCATGAGGTGTAGTTTTCAGGCTGCTGATGGGGTGGGGGGGAAACCAGTCCTGTCCACTCATCATTTAAGGCGAAACTTTTTTTAAAGCTTTGTGTTTTTCTATTTTGACTCACAATGCGGATCAGAAGCGATTTCTTCCCACCCGAGCAAAAAAACAAAAACAAAAACATATTTGCAACTGCTGTCTGAACAGCTTGTGTGCCGTAACATGGGATCCGTTCCCCCCCCAACGCGCACACTGCAGCATTTCCACTGCTGTTGTCCTCGCTCGGCACACCAGCCAAAAGTGCGCACGCGGGGGGGGGGCAGTCAGTGATCACCCGGCAATAATCAGAGGCAGAGATCGCTAACGAAGCCCGGAGGTCTGGAATGGATTTGGCAGGAGCCCAGCCAGCATCCAATTGAAAAGCAACCGAGAACAAGTGCATTTATATCCAATTTGGAACCACCAGACATCACCGGGGGTCTGTCCTGCTTGCGAGAAGTTCAATTACGGAGGTCGAGAAAGCAGGACCGGGAAGGAGAAAAAAAGAAGCAGGTGAGAGAACTTTGGAGGGGAGCAAAGACGACGGCGGATTAGAACGTCTCTGCCATCAATTTCAACAAAATGGAAAAAGAAGATCTAAGAAAAACCAAAAGTGTGCTTTGATTCCGGTGTCTCCGTAACAGGAGGAGAGGAGGGAGCAGCAAAAGAGGAAGGCCAAAAATGAGATGCCATGACTCCATAAAAGAACGATGGCCTTAAAATTGTAAGATCTGAGCAGGCAGGATGCTAACGAGGACCACCACAAGGCCTCGTCGTTAATTCGCATTTTTGCCGTAAGCCTTTCCAGCTGCGGACACCTCCCCTTGCAGAAGAAGCTTTTACAACACAAATGCCTTGTTTCGTTCCCATTTTTTTAAAATAAAATCTCGGAGCGGTTTGCCACTGCCCCTGCCAGCGGGAGGGAGGGGCACCCAGAAGCACACATCGAAGGCTCTCGAAAAGGATCCAGAAAACTCCAAAGAAGGGTCACCGGAAGCCAGAATGGCACACAAAGACACACACACACACACTCAGTGAAACAAGGACCCTTCCCACCTCCCCGGGACTCACCATACGGAGACTGCGGTCCGAAATCATTGGCCGCCTCAATCATGTACTGCGCCAGGAGCTCCCCGTTGGTGACGCGAGAGGGCACCTTCCGGTCTAGCTTCTCGTAAAGGAACTCTTCAACTCTGGCACCTGGAAGGAGATCAGATCACGTCAGAAGCGCCGTAGCAGGAGCTCAATAAAATTCCCCGGAGGATACCACGATCCTACACTATTATCTCTCAAGACCTGCTTCCCAAATCTTTCCAGTACGATCCCAGTATCCACAGGAGGGGATTGGTTCCAAGCCCACCGCAGATGCTGAAAACCGTGGATAACAGCAAACCCTATATGTACATAGCATGGTATCTCTCTTACTGTATAGCCATAACTCTGGCCAAGACAGAAGCATCACCCTAACTCCTTCTTTGAACCATCTGCTGTTTCAGTGCCATATTATCATCCTTAGACATTTTACACAAGCCACCCCAAAGTTCTCGGTGGCTCAAGGGTAGCCTCCAAAATGCTTAAAATAATACGTCCAGTCCAGCTTCCCCCTCCAACAAACGAATCAATGAATCAGCATCTCAGCATTAAATGAAAACAAAATTAATTAAGTGCTCCAGGACCAAAAATACAGGCTTACTGGGGTTTGGCTGTAGCAGGACTTCAGTCTGACGCAAGATCTTCTCTGTCCAGTTCTTGGTGGTGTCTGCTCGGGCCAGGAGGTTTTCAAAGTGGGCGTCCAATTCAGTCTTCTCAGCCTGGCCAAGCTTCTCCTCCGTGAACTGCAGCGGGAGAGCAGAGAAAACAGATTAAAACGGGACCGTCCACCAGAAAGAGCCCTTCGTTCGGCTTATTGAATTTCCCTCTATGCTACAGAAATCCAGTAAAAGCCGGAGAGACCACATTCCAAGCCTCGATACCAACCGCAAAGCCTCAAGATCCAGAATTGGCAAAGAGATAATTTCAAAAGCAAATTATGGGCGAGACAGGTAGAAGCAGCCGGCCGACACGTGGATTTTAGAAAGGGCCATAAATCCATTTATGGAGCTTTCTGTCCATAGTTTCAGGAGAATCAGCAGATCCCTGCTTCTGTATTCTAAAAATCCAGGGTCCTAAACACCATGTATTTTTAAAATTCATATATTTACAGGCCCTCATCATTTTACAGCACATCATAGGCCTTCACCAGCTCCCCCAGAAGGCTACAGATTCTGGTCACCGGGGAATTTTAAAAATCCTCTTAAGAGTTTTTATCACAACAGCTGGTTGTGTCCCATCATGAGCGGGGGGAAAAAAAGATCCATGTAAGAGCCTGTAATAATTAGAAATTTACGGAATCTATGACGAAACAGAGAAGGGATAGGAGCCAGACACAGCAGGTTAAACCCAATTGCAAAGGTTTGGGGGTATGTTCTTAATAAAAGGGAAATAAACTAAGAAATTAGCACTGATTTAGCACTGGGAAAATATTGAAGAGAAAAATATTTCTGGACACACACTTCCTATTCTGTGGAGTCTGCTTGGAGTAATAAATTTCTATCTCTCATGCAGAACAGGAAAAACAACTTTACAGGCTGGCTTTTATCTCGGAAGGTGTTAAACTTTGTCAAATATTAAAGAAGGGGGAAAGAGTAAAACACATTTTAAGGAGGATGATATAACAGGGCTCTTATTTGGGTATGGCTTAAGCAGGAAAGCATGTGAAAAACAACCCATCCAGTTCTTAACGATAGGATCCTCTAATCAATTATCTCAGATTGTTCCTAAATAGCTTACAACGGTGAGATTTCTGACGCGGCTGACTGTTTATGTCCGGATATTAATCCCTTCCGGCCTGTATTACGAAGGGCAATTTAGTTATCGTTTGTGATGATACAGAATGGCGTGGCAGAATGAAGGAACTCCTTCGTACTTTTAAAGATAGGCTTTGATGAATATTTTTCTGGTTCATTGAAACTCTCCCAACATGTGCTAAATTTGCGTATCAGCGCCGGCGTTACGCGAATTTATCGGATTGTTTCATTGATCCCAAGGACGCATCCTCGCCGTCTGCAAAACCACCCGGACTCCTACCGTAACTGTACATTTGGCATTTCGGAGTCTGCACACAAACACATGCCCAATTTTTTTTTTCTTTTAGTTTTCTGTTGCCGCCGCCGCCGAGGCTAATCGGCAAAACCTTTTGGGCAGGCGGCCAGTTTTCTCAGGAGCCTCTTAAAAAGCTCGAGGCTTCGACAGCTTTAGGGGGTCGGGTTGCATTCTGGAGAGGACGAGCTGTGAAAAAGCCATCAAATTTTAAAAGGTGAGAAGTTTTGGAAGGAACCCAGTGGAGGCATAAAACTGAAATAGCTCAATCACAAATGACTATCCTTCCTTCCAAGCCTTTGAATTCAAAGGGAAACAACCACCCCCTCTGTTGAGTGTTCTGTCCCTCTCTTTGTTGGTTGGTGGCCGTTGCTTCTTTGCTGTTAATCTGTTCGGCTGGGTGCTCGTATGCAGGCAGCCAAGAAAGCAGTTATACACACGGGTCTCTAACTCCAAGCAACTGTAAACAGACGGAAGTTGTTATTCTTTTCCCTACAAAAGTCTCAGAGTTATCGAGACATTAAGTGCCAGTTAATGGAGAAAAGGGGTGGGCTATTGGGGTGAACTTGAAGCTATGTAGGAAACATTGTAGAACCCCGCAGAATCCTTCCTCAAGACCCATGTCCTGAAAATGCAAGGAGAAAAAAAGTTGATTGAATCTCGTGACTCATGTCCACTCCATCAATATTCTCTGTGTTATCTCTAGATGGACAAAAAAAAGAGGAATCGTCTGGACTGTAGATTCGCTCCTGTGCACAACGAAGGGGACCGAGCGCTCGGATGCTGCGGGTTTGTATTAGGGACTTAATTCCCCTACTCGTGACTCCAAGGTTCAGGCCGCTTGTGGCGCCCGATGGGGCTACCTGTGTCCGCAGGTAAGCTTCAGAGTCCAAAGGGAAAAAAAACGGTCTCTATTTTCAGCGCCGGAGAAGTCAGGGCGGTGTTTGTGCCGGTGGCCATGAATAATGCAGACTGGCCTCTGCAGCCGTGGGAGGAGGCGGGCGAGGGAACCGCATCCCTCCAGATCAACATTTCACGCTGGCGTTGAGTTTCTGTGGGGCTGCAAAGGGGAGCCAGCGGTGGAGGGAGGGAGAGGAAGCTAGCCCTCGGCTGAGCACTTAGGCGCCTCGTCGGCAGAGAGAACAGCCGGTGCCTCGCTGCCTCAAGCAACGTGGGTCTCCCATCCCCTCCGGGGGACCGTTTCCCCTCCTAAACGGGAAGGCAGCTGTCTTCCTCCACCAGACCAGGTTTCGTCTGTCAAGGTCTGGCCAACTGGGAGGGGGTCGGAGGGCTTAGCGAAGGCTGAGCTCTGCCCAAGCTTCTGGCTTAGAAAAAAAAAAGAGAAGCTCTCCCAGCTAGCACTGGGGCAGGAAGAGGAAGCTGGGTGGAGAGAGCTAGGCCTAGCTCAAGGCCTCTTGCTTAAGGCCCTTCTTCTGCCAGGCGAGCCGTACTTTGGCCTCTGTACGGTACAACTCCCACCAGAAGGATGGGGTTTGTAGTCCAACAAATCCAAAAAAAAAATCTAATCCCTACGACTCTCTCCGGCTGGCTGGGGGTGGGGGGGAAGCAAGGCTTGGATTTTAAGAGAAGCTGCACTAGCAAATATCTTGTCCACAGAGAAGTTTGCATCTAGCGTGTTTCTTTATCCAGTTACAGAATTCCTCTAGTGGCCAGTTCCAACAAACACACTCTGGAAATACACATAAAGTAGATATTTTTGGGGGGTGGCGGGCCTATGGTCATTTAGTGTTTTCAGCCTGTGGTTAAGAGGATCAGTGGATACTGATCCCACGGATAGGGAGATCCGCGCGTACCTTGCTGCTCCATTCTGTCCCCAGTGCTAAGCATTTAAAGAACCTTTCTAAAGGTTCCTCTTGCCCTAAGCTATCTTGCTCCCCTTAAAAAAGCAGAAATAATTACACCTCTAGTTAAGGAAGGTGGAATGTTATTCTACAAACCAATCTGAAGTGGAAGTAGCAGATTAATTGCTATTTATAAAAATCCCCCCGTCTCCCTGCTGATAGCAGGCGGCTTGCAGCCTACGCACAGACCGAAAGTCTGCTGGCTTTTCTTCCGAATTTCCCTTTCCCAGCTGATTACCTGCATAAGACGGTAGAAAACCATCACTGGAAAGGGGGAAAACGTTGGTATGGGTGAGAATTTGTTTGCTTCTGATACAGATGTATCAGAAATCACATCCGACACAAGGTTTAATAAAAGCCACATAGTTAGGATGGAAAAGCATGTGATCACACACTAAAAAAGGTAAGCCCTGGGCACGAACTGGAAAAACAGGTGGTTCGTGATGGCTCGTGGCGAACCACGAACCCTCGGGAAAATGAACCCATTCGCAGTTTGTTCCCCAGATGGGGGATCTACCTGCTCCTTTCCCCTCACCCGGCTGCCCGCTCATCCCCTTCCCGTGCCCCCCCCACCCGATTCTGCGGCCGCCACCACACTACACAGAACGAAGTGCCCAAGGGGGGGGGAGGAAAGTTCGTGCTTCTTTTTGCTTTGACAAAACGGGATTCCCCAAACCGGCTCGCGCACCGAACCACAAACCATCCCGATTCGTCCCTTGCCCAAGGCCATGCCGGCCGGCTCTTTTTCCAGGAGAAGAATCGAACGCCCAACCTCGGGCTTCGCAGCCAGAGATGCTGAAACCACCAATTCAATTTTTGTTAAAGTCAGAAATAACATTATTTCCTCTTTCTGGGAACTTGCAAGAGCAGGGATTTTTTCTATCAAAATAAGGCACATGACTTGTTTTCCTGCCCTCTCGCACTAAAAAAACAAAACTGGAAGTGACCTTCTGGTCATTTCTGGGTGTGATTTTTTTTCCCTTTATTCTCCGGCGCGGTGCAGCCGGCAGCAAATTCTCGGGGTGGAAAACTGGATGGAAAACGCATTCTCGTCTGTTTTCTATCCACATAACAGGTTGGGCTCCTGTCTTTCATGGTGGTTTTGTTTTTTTCAAACCCCAGGTATACATACATACAAACATACACCAGATCCTGCCCTCTTTTTCTCATGCAAGTCACAGACAAAAGTACAGGAGGGCTGCATTATAAATTCCAAGCCCTCTTGGTTGCTGAAAAGCACAGATAATAGTAAAGTTAGCCTTTAAGGTGCCACCACGTTTTCGCCTCTTTTTTAACCTTCCTATTTCTGTTTTGCTTTTATCTGTAGAGTTCGAAGAGCGACTGAACTCAACACGGGCTGACCCACAACGTGGTTAAAAATTGATTTTGCTATCACAGTCACTATAGCCGCTTCGGGTGCTACTCGGGGCAAAAGCAGAAAGCCGTTCAGGAGGGACGCCGGCTTTAAGAAACATTAAAAAACCCGCAAGCAAAAAAATGAGAAGATATTTTGGTGCCTGAAAGATGAAAGGCTATCGTTTAATGCAAACTTTCGGGGAAGAGCGCCACTTCTTTAGAAGGCCTCAGAATCAAAATACAGATATAAAATTATCTACTGTGGTTCGATGGCGTCCGATTTGCACCGCTCTCTAGGAGAGAATTTGAGTAAACTTGCCGAACGAGAAACTTCAAGGACAAGCCACGGAGATCTGATTATCGGCACACCGTGACCCCCTGCTTCAATGGCAATTTCGTTTACAACTTTTTGACCTCGGACAGCAGTGTTCGTTCACCTTCCAATCGTTCTTTCGGCGGCCACACCTCCAACATCCAAAACACCCTTGTTCTGTTTGAGACCAGAAGCCTGACCCCAGAGATCCATGGGGAAAGGAGCTTGTAATGCAGTGCTTAAGCACTTTTCTTGGGGGATGAGTTACGACAGAAGGTCCATCATGGCGATGGTCTTTTTAAAGGAGGAAGGCGGGATCAAAAAAAATTAAATAATGCCTCCATGAACACCAATAAGTGCATGAAACCAGACGGCCAATTCTGAGAAGCAGACACTTTTCGGTGGTAGCCCAAGACCTAAGGAAGGTCCACACGATCAAGCCACATCATTTATTTCCGTGTCTTTTGATAGCATTCTTGTCTTGTCTCAACCGAGGTTCCCGGAGCCATTTTAAACACATTGGGAAGGACACATTTATTGCTATTGTTTGTCGTATTTTTAGATGGTGGGTTAAAATGTAGCTAGCTGCTATGTCTTTAGAAGGAAAAAACAAACAAACACTTGAATTCCTAAAAAGCTCTAAAAATATACACAAAACTATCTGAATTTTTTCCCCTCTGTAGTCCTTTTAAACCCGGAACAGTGTAGCAAACACTTCATGCAAGAGATCGTTGACGTTGATTTAGCATATAACAAGTGTTTGGTTTTAAAACCACTTGGTTAATAAATGCACAACCGCCCCTGGCATGCCCTGTCTGTGTGTCAAGACAGGCAAATTCACCCAAATGTAACGAACATTTTTAGATTAAAGCCAGAATATCCTCTGATCTGGGCCTTTGGAGTAAACAGCATGCAGGTTTCAGAATCCCGCAACCCTGAAAGGCAGAATTCTGCAAGCGGGCTACCTGTCAATGGAATATTTCTGTCTCACAAAGCATATTATTGTTTAGGGCAGTGAGTGGGTGAAAAGCAGCCACTCCCCATGGAAGGCTCGCCACATTTCTCCTGAAATATAGGGTGCCCCAAAGCTGGCTTTTCTGCACAGAACGATGCTTTGTCCTTTTATTCATTTTACTAATAATAATACACAACAACTAAACAAGAGATTGAAAGAACATTGAAAAAGGAACAAATTTAAGTCAAAATGCAAGACGCACCATACGTACACACTGTCCCGTGCTCCCAGAACGATGCTTTCCCACTGGCCTATGAACTCCAAGAATTAAATCCACTTGCCCCCCCGTCATTAAAAAAATCACGGGAAAAGTTTAAAGGATGGAGCAGAGCAATGGAAGGCCTGCGGATCCCTCTGCAAGAAGGGTCCGAGGGCCGTTCTAAATCCGACTGCGGCCATCACCCATCCTGCAGATGCTGCCCAAGTTTACAATGATTTATTATTTCATTCCGTTGATTCGTATACCACCCCCCACGACTGCCATGCACTATTGTGGGCGGTTTGCACCGACAGATAAAAATACGATCATCCGCGAGAAGCACACCCTAAATTCAAACCATTAGTAAAGGAACCGCTCAGGTCCATTTCCTATACGAGGCAGGACAGGGTGGGTTAAAACCAGGCAGGGTCAGGGTGGAAAGCCGGAAAAGCGGTGTTTTAAGGCGCCTCCTGAGCATACGCAGGGAGAGGTTCCAGGCTTCGTGCCACCGGGAGCTGGCGCCACAACATTGGGGCCACCACCAAGAATGGATGAACTCACGTGGATGATTTCTGGGCCTGGCTCCCCGGGAGGAGCTTAGCTGGGGAGGATATCTGGTGGCTCAGGCTGATGACACTGGGGAGAGACATTGCTTACAAACTTAGAGAGAAATAGAAAAATAGGACAAGCAGCCATTTATTTATTGGGACAGAGACAGCAAACTGTCCCAAGGCCTTTCCACAGGGAGACACGCCATTCGCCACCCCCCCTCCCGCACCAAGGTTGCGCTTCAGTTCATTACGTGTGCGCGCTCTGCGTAAGGGAGCTTCTCCCGTGGGTGTCAGGACAGAAGCGACATCCCTCGTGCTTTATGGAGCAAGCGACGTACACTAGGACGGGGGGTGGGGCTTGCACTCTGGAAAGCCTGGGCCAAATCACTCTTTCGGTGCAAAGAGAAAGGCAGGATCGGGACCCGCTTCCCGGAACAGCTGGCCTGGTTGCAGGAGATGCGTAGGACATGCATGAATGCCTGGGGTGGGGTGGGGGGGAGACACTGCAGCGAAGTTGTCAAGGAAAGAAATTTATTTTTCTGGTACAGGGTGCAAGACTCAAGCCCTTACTAGCAAACCACACAAGACACCAAACTCACACCTTGCTGTTTTTTTTTTTTACCTTCCCTGGGGGAAAAAATAACAACCCGGCCATCATACAGAGCCACCTGCCTCAGTTTGAGGGGGGGGGGNATAAATGTTGGAGAGGGACCGAAATGCAGAAGGTTCCAAAATTTAAAAAGGTTTATTGAGCTGGAGTAGAGGGAGAGATAGGGAGAAAAAATATATATATATTCAGATTTGTCCAATGCATTACAGGGCCATCCAGGGAAGCCGGCTGGCCTTTGCGCCTCTGGAGGAAAGGAAAAAAAAAAAACAACACCCAGGGGTGGGGAAAGTGGAAAAAGGCAAAAAGGTGCAATTAAAAGCCCAGCTGAAGCATGGTTTCCATTTGCAGCCAAAATAATAATAATAATAAAAATGCAGTTCCACAACTCCCCTCCCCCCCAAAATGCAATTCAACCGTTTGGGAAAGTTCTACCTCTTTCTCTTAGATATATTGATTTAATGAATGGGTGGAAAATAGGGTTTTCGCTCGCCTTTCTCCTGGAAAAAAAGGGAGTCTCAGCCCAGCCAGAGGAGCGACCCCGGGAAATCCTGCGCGATTCCTGGGGAGGAGGAGCAGCCCGTCCTCCCTTCATGCAGGGATCGGAGGTGGGGGGGGGAGAGAGGAAGATGATGGGGGAACACCCCCCCAAAAAAAATTCAAGGCAAAACGATTTGGGGATACCTGCTCCACCTGGGGCTTCCTTACCTGGACCGCTCGGGTGAAGAAAACGCCCGCATCGGAGGCCAGTTTTTTCATGTTGAAATCCATGGGCGAGGCAGGGGGGGGGGCAGGAAAAAAAAGGAAGGAAGGAAGGAAAGAAGGAGAGGCCGAGAGAGAAATAAAAATAATAATAATGGGATTTAATCTCGCTCAGACGCAGCCTCTCTCTCTCTCCTCCCCGCAGATGCGATGCTCCAGACTCCCCGCCCACCTCCTGCTCCCCAGGAAGGTCTGATCCGGAACACGAGAGGGATGGAGGAAGGAGGGGGGAAAAAAACACACAACACAACACACACAACCACAATCCAGAGGCAAACCACCTCCCAGCCAGCTCGGTCGAGAGGCGCCCTCTGGCAGCTGCTTAAAAGCGTCCTTTCAATAAAATAAAATAAAATAAAAATTCAGAGTTGGTTGGGGTGGGGACTACAGTTTCCATCAGCACCCCCCCTGGTTGGGGGAGTGGGGGAATTGTAGTCCAGAAAGAGACGCACACACAGAGAGAGAGGCCGAGGATGATGATTTTCCCAGGCTCCGAGAGCTACATGGCAATGTTTCCATCCTGCCTTGGGGAAAAAAAGTAACCTTTCCGGGGTCCGAGAAGCCCATCGTTAGGGCTGGGAAGCACAGCCGTGTTGGAGAGACGGGATTTAGGTGGCCTTTCGGGTCTGCAAAAGCAGGGTGCCCAAGGGAGCCTGGGCGGCATTGTAGAAATGGACTAAAGAGGAATCCTGTGTTGATGCCCCCGAAGACCAATCCCTCAAACAAGGGGAGCTTGCTATTTGCAGCCTCCCAGGGATCAAGGAAGCTCCTGCCTTCGCACTCAGAGGTTTTCATTAGTTAAAGACTTCCCACTTCTAATACTGGGTTATCTATAATGTCTGTTTTTTTGTTTTGCCACCAATATGGGGTAGAGTCAAAGGATCAGTGAACCTCAAATGCGGTGGCGGGTGCCATCAATGCATAAGTGTTTAGAAGTCCCCCCATCTTCTAACTCCTAAGTAAGAGGTCAATGTAAAAGTCTCTGGTTTGTTGTTTCTTTGCTCAAAAGCAGCCCATGAAGTTGACAATGACTTTGTCGGTGATGCAACATTTAATGCTAACAGAATCTACACATATTTACTCCAAAGCCTCATCGTGGCACATTCTGGACCAGTGGGGGTAAAAAAGCTGGAGAATAAAATCAAAGTAGCCAAAGGGAAAAGATGATGGGATTTAGAGCCAAAGCACATCTGGAGGTCCATGATTGCCAGCTCCTGCTATATCTGGGAAATTATTTTATGGAATTCATTGGGATTGAATTCTGAGTAGGCTCCATATGAGGGGTGGGCAAGGTGCAGTCTGACACTCAGCCCCTCAAAAAATCTATTTTTTGGTGCTCCAAATACCCTTTCTTTTAAATTTTTCTTTGATTTTGTACTGTGCACGTTTGTAGTTTTCATTTTAAGAATGTTTTAAAAACCCCTTGTGAGGGTGGGCGGTCACTTGATCACGTTTTGAGGGCTGCTTCCCCTAAGTCACTAGTCCCTAGTTTTCTTGACCCCTGAGGCAGCGGGCCCCACATAAAAGGGAGCTTGCCCCTTTAAGGCAAACCCCGCCCCCTTTAGCCTCACTCCCGCCCCAAGCCAATCAGCGCTCTCCCAGCCCCATATGGGGGCAAAGAGAACTCTGCCGCTCAACCGCACTAGCTTGAGCCGCCGCTCAAGTCCCACCTCCCCTTGTAGGAGATGAAGGAATGGCGATTGGTGCGCGGCGGGACGGAGGCGCTGCTCTCATTGGCCAAGCGTAGTGCCAATCCGAAGTCTCGCCACGACGCACCGCCCCCTGGTGGCAGCCGTCGGGGTAGGCTGCGAGAGTGGGAGAGAACCGGGAAGGAGACGCTGCCCTTCCGAAGCAATGGAGCGAGGCTGCACGGTGAGGACTCCCCCTTTTCCTGGAGATGGTACTGGCCGCTTGCTGTGAGACCAAGCGCGCCTGGCCTATACATTGCGATCTGGAGGGGTGGCGGTGGAAGGCATATGTTGGCTTTCCGTTCCTCTGATTCTGCGTAGCTTTTGAAAGCGTGCTCTCGGCTTGGCAGGACAGGGATGAGCCCCTGCTGGAAACTCACGGTCCGGGGTCCTCCTCCTCCTCCTAGAACTGCCAGTCCAGCCCCTATCAAGGAGGCTCCGTGGGGGGGCGGGATTCGAACTCCCAACCTCTGGCTCTGCAGCCAGAGACCTTACCTCCGGAGCTATTGCCCTCGCTCCTCACAGGCTTGGTTATCTGTTGCAACAGAGCCCTGTGGTACCTGGAAGGCTTGCAAATTGGCAGCAGGATGACCTTCCCCCCCCCTACCCCCGCAACTAAATCCCAGTGGTGAAGAACCACAAAATGCAAAAAGTAGGGTCGGGGTCAGGGGTCACGCGGGCCAGATCTTAATGCCGATTGCTCTGGGATGCTTTGAGCGTTGGCATCGCCCTCCTCCCGGGCAAGTTGGCACCTCCTCGCCAGCTGCCCTGCATCACTTTTTTTCTGCTTTCGACCATCAGTTGCTAGAACCTCCATGTTCAGGCACAGTCTATCTTGGTGGCGTTAGCAAGGGCAGACTCCACAGCCGGCGTGCGCTGATGGAAAGAACTGCCAGAGAGCGCACAGGATTCGGACGGGGCTGCCTCTGCAGCGGGACAGCCTCCTGATCAAGTAGCTGGGAATTCTGGGACTTGTAGTCCGACCTCAGGATAAATGTCCTGTGTTGGTGGATGGCAAGAGGGCTGACAAGGCAGTAAGAAAGAAAGGCTGCGGGCTTGTGATTCTTTTTTTTTTTTGGACTACAACTCCCAGAATTCCCAGGCAGGCAGGGACTTGAACCCGGATCTTGTACATCCCAATTTAGCAGCATGATGGTTTTAAAAGCACATGGGGGAAGAAGGTCAGCTGCTCCGTCTGGGTCGGCCAAGGACAAAAACCCCCGCCTTGATGCTGGTTTTACCGATTAAACCGGGCTCGGTTTTTCCCCTTGCAGCCCAGGGGGGCGAATTGCAGGCCGTTTAGAGAAGATCCTGCATATTTGGGTTTAGACTGAAGCATTCGAAAGCGTCTCGGGGTTAGGTTGCAGGAATCTGGAGACCAGTTACTGGGCTTCCAGGCCGGGTTTTTATTGCAACAATTGAGAATATTTCTTATCTCCCTTGATAACTTTGGTCAAAAGTCCCACCAAGGCCATGACGCCCGCATTCCTTTCCAGAGCGGACAGTGCTGTAGAAAGAAAATTTTTGATTTTTTTTTTTACCCTGACCTTTTAACGAGTTCCCAGGACGGCTGATGGGAAAGTTGGTGTGATATTAAACCCAAGACGCTTCGGTCAATTTAGCAATGGGGTTGCGGACTGATGACTTCCCGTGTACATCATTAGGAGTTTTCTGTCTCTCTCATCCCAGAGCAGAAGATTTTTCTGGAGGCCTGATTGTCGGCTTGCGACACCGACGTGGAAGCCGCGCCGGATTTCTGGGCGAACGTTCTAGAACCCAATGAATTCTCACCGCCCGCAACCACCGAGATCCTATTCCCGAAATGGCGTTCCGGAGAACCGAGGGGATGTCCCTCATCCAAGCTCTTGCCATGACAGTAGCGGAGATCCCGGTTTTCCTATATACCACGTTTGGTCAGGTACTGCAATGGTATTTGTTATGTGCTGTTGAGGGGTTTCCGGCTTGGGGGGGACGACCCCAGAGAGGAGTGAGTGACCTCGAAACTCTCCCGTCACGAATCGTCGTGCTTGGGTCTTGCAGACTTGAGGGGTTGCAATACTCAGTGGTTGCAGAAAAAGCTGGCGTTCCCTTCTGCTCACCCTTCTCTTTTTCTTTTCTCCGAAGTCTGCCTTCTCTCAGCTGAGGCTCAGCCCAGGCCTGCGCAAGGTGCTGTTCGCCACGGCGCTCGGAACGGTGGCCTTAGCCCTCGCCGCGCATCAGCTGAAGCGGCGCCGGCGCCGAAAGAAACTGGCCCCCCCGGAAAAAACGGCCCCGAAGCCTGCAGGGGTTCCCGTTCCCATCCTGCCCACAAGACGCGTCCCTTCGGTGAAAAAAGGTACCCATGGGGTGGAGGTTAAAACAGATTGTTTTCTTCTTCTGGGACGTCTTGATAGTCTGGCTGCTAGGGAAATAAAAGACATCAGCCTGCCCTCTCGGTGACATGTCCGAAAACATCTAGACAGTGGCCTGGATCCTATGGCTGATCTATGCCTGCGTAAGGGGGGCCGTGGAAATCCAACTGAAAACATACACTCTTCGCTGATTTGTTTATCCACGGTCTGAAAAGATTAAAAGGAAAATCGCAGAAATATATATTTCTAATGATGCCATTGCCAGAACTGGCCCCTAGAGGGAGCCAGAGACCGTCCAATGTATCATTTTTTGCTAGAGGAATAGATTTCCACAATGTCATTATTAAAACCGGTCACTAGAGGGAGACAAAGACCATGCTATGTAAAGCGTTTGCTAGCTATCAACGGCTTTTTCAGCATCCGCGGGGGGGGGCAGCTGGGAACCAATCCCCCATAGATAGGGGGATCCTGCCTTGGGTCAGCCGCCCAGAGTTGTGGCTCGCCGCCAGATGGGCAGTATGCAAACACAACCGATGAACGAACCAACAAACGAATGCGCAGAACGAATTTTGGCCGAGAAGTCAGCGTAAACATTCGCTGTCTTGGCCCGAGTTTGCTGCAAATTCACAGTCGGAGTCTGGACTCTGTGGCTTTCCATGTTGTTACTGGAACAAAACACAAGGGACGGCCCCCTTTCTTGGGGGGATTCTCAGGTCTATATGTCGTCCCCCCCCCGGTGTTTCAGGGTATTCCAGCCGGCGGGTGCAGAGCCCCAGCAGCAAAAGCAACGACACCCTGAGTGGCATCTCGTCCATCGAGCCAAGCAAACATTCCAGTTCCTCGCACAGCCTGGCTTCGGTAAGAGACGAGGCGCGTGCCCTCCGTGGTCGAGTTGGACTTAAGTCGCCACGTTGACTCGACTCGGATTTGACCCGGGCTTTTGGTTTTCCAATGTCTCAAACTCAACCTGTGGAAGCGTAAACCCGTTTCCTAGTTTGGAACTAGCCGAGGTCTGCCAAACCATGGTTTATCAGACTGAGATTGCAAGCCTGCACACCCTCAGTGGGAAGAAGGAGAACCACGATGAGGGTCGGCCGTCAAGTCGATTCCAAACTAAGGCAACTTCTGAAGAAGTGCTTTACCGGTTGTACTGTTACCTGGGAGTAAGTTGTAGAGAACTCAATGGGACTCACTTCCGAGTCACTGAAACCTTGTTATTTAGCGTAGCATGTTGCGCTAGAGTAGACCCAATACATCTGTGGGGGCTTTGGTGAGTCAACTCCTGCATGAGTTCAGTTAATTCATGGGCCTACTCTAATCACGACTTACTCTGCTGAGCCACAGGATCTCAGCATGTCAGTTATAAATAGAAGTACGCCAGTTATGGTGTTTCTGTACTCTGTACATCTCTAGTTGCAAACAGCATTGCAGGCTGAACCCCTTTTTTTCTGTTTCTTAGATGGCGGCAGTAAATTCCTCCAGCCCAACACCGGCTTCTGCTGGACCCTGGGAGGACCAGGGGGATCCGGGAGCTGCTGGCGACTGCAGTGCAGAAAATCTCTACTTCCAAGGTAAAGAACCGTGATGGATGTATATGCCTTTGAACCTAGAGTGGTCCGTTTTAAAGTGCAGACTGCGGATGGGGTTTTATCATTTCTTGGACTGCAAATCCCATAATTCTCCATTTGGGTGCCAGAGTACAACACCCATAACCCCCCCCCCATCAACACATCTCTAACTCCCAAAATTCTTCAAGCAGAATTATCAGACTTCCAGCCTACAGATCTGCGTTTTGCTCACCTGGAGAAAGGCCTAGCTCCCAGGCTTCTTGGCCTACCTCCGGCCTTTGCTTCCTGCTTTTCAGGTAGAAGAAAGGAAGCTGCTGTGGTGCTTCCTGCGAGGAGGAGTTTGCTGCCCTTTGGACTTTATAGAGGGGGCTTCCTGAAGAACTACCTGTCCCAGGAAGCACTGCAGCGGCTTCCTTTCTTCTGCATTAAGAACAGGAAGCCTGGAGCTAGGCCTTACGCAGTCTGGGAGCTAGGCCCTTCGCCAGGTGAGCGAAAGGTAGGTGTCTTGTGCATCTGTAGGGGTGGGTCTGTGAGCAGGAACTCTCAGGATCCTTGTTGGGCAATTCTTGGAGGAGTCTGACAGTTGAAGTCAAAAGACCAGTGACAGATCCTTAATTATGAGACCTTTAGATACACTTCAGAAAACCATTGCCTTTCATTAAATGCGTAACATGATGGGGCCTTAATCCCACAGATCCACCCTTCCTCAGATTTTTCCCGGGAGAAAAGAAAGATGGAGGGCATTTACTGGCGAGTCCTGGCCTGGAAGAAAAGGGTGTTCCTTTTGGCATGGGTGAAAACGTGTGCCCCTTTCTCCCAGAATTTTGGAGAGGGGTACCCGTTGCTCGCTGGGTCTCCCCACGGCTCCTGCCTGGTAGTAAGCAGATGCTGTCAGATGTGGTCTTTTCTTACCTTGAAAGGAATGGAGCTGTTTGAGGAAGCCCTCCTGAAGTGGGAACAGGCCCTGACCATCAGGCAGAGGGATCCTGCCACCCCGTCCGTCGCCTGCGACAATTTAAAGGACCAGGAGCTGCCACTGGGAGATCTCCCTGAGGTGGGGATCCATGAACTCTACAGGAGGGAAGGCTTAAATGTATCACTGTGTAAGAATGAATCAGTATTAACTGATTCACTTGTCCACAGTCTGAGAATATTAAAAAATGTGTTGGACTGGACTTGATGATCCATAGGGTCCCTTCCAACTCTGCAGTTCAAAGGTTATTATAATTATAAAAAGAAAAATATGTATTTCATTTTAACGTTATGGGAATATCAGCACAGAGCAGGTAGACCGGGTCCTAGATCTCCCGAAAGGCTAGTCTACCTCCTCCTTTAAGGAGACTGGGTCCCCACTGAGCACCCCAAAATGGCCATCTGAGCCCAGCCTCTGTACCACGTCAGCGCTAAATGAAGCAGCGCTATGTGAAGCATTAACATATATTAAAATGGCCACTAGAGGGGGCAAGAGAGCATTTTCAGGTAAAAAGTCCAATTTGTATAAGAAAAAAAAATTAGTCTGAGCACGGCAAGATCAGGTTTGGCCCTTCAGGTTCTGGGGATAGGTGCATGTGGCCTGCAGGCCTCGGGAGGTGGTTTATATACTTTGATTAGAGAACCACGTCAGTGGTCTTTCCTAAGTCTAAGCTCTGTGCATTTGCATCTTTTCAGCAGGATTCCCAGAAGAGAGAATTTGCAGAAAAGCTGGAAACCCTGTTGCACCGGGCGTACAACCTCCAGGAAGAGTTTGGCTCCACGTTTCCAGTCGACACCATGCTGATAGACCTGGGTGAGTTCTGGCAGGATGAGAGCAGAATCTGGTCAGGCCTGGCGGAGGTCATCAAGGCGGCGTTTCGTTGTGAACTTAAATTGTGCTTCATGCTGGCCCATGGTGAGATGGGTGCCTCTGGCCTTTTACGGTAGGGGATGGCGTACATAGATGGTAAAAAAACTCAATGGTCACAGGGCTGTTTTCCTCTTTCCCGCACGTGCCTAGAGAGGACTTTCATGCTCCCCTTGACGGGAGAGTCTCTGAGACTTCGGGCGGATGACGAGGAAGACAGCTTGACCTCTGAGGACTCCTTCTTCTCGGCTGCCGAGGTGAGTCGGACGCTCTCTGCAGTGGCTTCCCGAACTTGGTTGTTAAAGGCAAGGCCTTCTCTGTCGGCCACAGAAAATGACCTCCCGTAGAAATCCACCGTGTTGTGATTACATAGAATCCTAGCATGATGGAGTCGGAAGGAGGCCTCTAAGACCATGGAGTCCAACTCCCTGGTCAAGGCAGGAGTCCAAGTCAAAGCAGATCTCATAGAACCCTAGGATGATGGAGTCGGAAGGAGGCCTTTAAGACCATGGAGTCCAACCCCCTGGTCAAGGCAGGAATCCCAGTCAAAGATCTGAAAGGCGGTGGTCCCATTTTCTCTTGAAGGCCTCCAGCGTTGGAGCGCTCACCTTGTTCTCCGGAGGTCATAACTTAGTATTCTTTACTAGGTCTCGCTTCAGAATGGTCCCCAAGGGCAGCCCCAGATAGAAGACAGAGGAGTCATCAAGCGGGTCCTTGATTGCCATGCCATGGGCTGGCTTAGCACAGGGTGGTCTTAGGAACCCCTCGTTTCAGCTAACTATCTGTTTTTTGGTTGGAACACAGCTCTTTGACTCCCTGGACATCGGGGGAACGTCCTTCCCGCTTTCCAAGCCGGCCGCCGCCTACGAAGAAGCTTTACAGTCGGTGAAGGATGGAAGAGTTCTTTGCAGGACTTTCCGGTGTGTAAGGGAGGTTCAGGAGACGGGTCTGGAGGGAATGATTCGGTCTGCCCCTTTTTTGGGGGGTGGTGGGAGAGACCTTTTTTAGAAACGGGTAGAGGCTCTCCAAGTGGCTTCTGGTTGCCGACCCCAGCGACACACTCGAGGGAGCAAAGATTCTGCCCGCCCTCTGTCATTAATACATCATCTTTATCAACGGGCTCTCTTCCTGGGCTGACGATCTGATGAGGATTTTCATGGACTGTGTTGATGCCTATCTCGGGATCTTTAGCCTGATACCCAGTGTGGTGTAGTGGATCAAGGGATGGGCGCAGGATACAGGCGACCCAAGTTCAAATCTCAGCTTGTATGTGGAAACTTAGCATTGTGTGTGTTTGTGGAAGTGGTAAAAACACTCCTTAAACATCTCACTGACCTTGAAAGCCCTCTTTGGGGTGGCTCGTTCTAATCCTGCGTTGTGCTTATTGTTTTTCCCGTGTTCTAGAACAGAGATTCTAGGCTGCTACAATGACCAGGACTTCCTAGCCAAACTTCACTGTGTCCGGCAAGCTTTCCAGGTAACTGACTCATGTCTTCCAACCTCTGTCGTCCCATAGTGAGCCAGCTTGGTGTAGTGGTTGAACTGGTGGTCTGGCCCATAAAGCTCACCTGGTTGACCCTAGACCAGTCCCACGCTCCGCAGCCAGAGACCTCAACCCCTGAGCTATCCCACCAGGATATAAATAACCAGTTAAAATATGCTGCTGGGGAGGCTGAGTGATCCCAAAAGACTGACCTGAATCACATTACGGTGGCTTGGCCTACCCGGCGAGGTTGTTGAGAGGATAACGCTGCGGGGAGATCTGCTGCCAGTTTGGAAAGCAGCACAGACAGGCAGCCAGACCTGGGAGAGATCAGCTCGATGCCGCTGAGGGGCCTCCCTTTGGTGTTTGTTTTCCCTCGGTACCACAACCTTCAAAACGGGATGGTCTTGTTGCAGGAGCTTCTGCAGATGGAGAGGAACCAGCTGTTTTTCGGAGAAGTCGGGAAGCAGATGGTCGTGGGCCTGATGACCAAAGCTGAGAAGGTAAGGGACGGCTTAGCGATAGACCACCAGGAACGACAGGGGAGCCCTGTTTCCCCGATTCTTATTTTGAGCCTGCCTGGATATTAAGGTCATCAGGAGAGAACTTTCTCTCTGTCTCACTGTCTTCACAGGTATTTTTGGGGGGGGGACCCAGGAGAGGGCCTTCTCTGTGGCTGCTCCCAGACTCTGGAACTCCCTGCCACTGGAGGCCAGGCTGGCCCCATCTTAGCGAGGTGAAGTCATTGATTTAGTGGCTCCCCTCTGGCCCCTGCCAAGTCTTCTTGATGGTCCTCTGTATTCTCCCACAGAACCCCAAGGGTTTCCTCGAAAAGTATGACGCCATGCTGCACTACACGTTGAAGCAGGAGACCTGGCCGACGACGCAGAAGGAGCTGGAAGGACGCGGGGTGGGTGTTGCCCCCTGCATTGAAAGGGACGTCAGCCGTTCCTTGGTTTGGAGCAAAAATCCAGAGCATCCTGGAGAGAAATGCTGGGCAAAATCCTATTTGTTCTTCTGTGTAGAGGAAACTGGATAAGTCTCAGTGGTTAACAAGGCCCTGGTTTTGTTCCAGTAGGGGTTGCTAGCAATTATTTGTAGAGATCGGTGTGAACCACCAAATTTGCTGTTCGTGCCGATTGGTTTTTGGGTTTTTTTGCCAAACATTTGGTGCTTCCGAGCGAAATACTTTGGTCTTCAGTTAAAAAAAAAAATTGGGTGGTGGTGGTTGGGATGCGGGAGCGGGCCTCATCCTGCAGGTGCTGTAAGAGGAAAGTGGTTGGCCCTTGATTCAGCGGGCCTGTCTTGAGTGCGATTTGTTGCACTCATCAGCAAGATTTTGGCCCTTGTGGTCCAGTGTAGGAATTGGTCAGTGACATCTCTCTTGCTTTCCCGTCAGGTGGTCTGTATGAACTTCTTTGATATTGTGCTGGATTTCATCCTTATGGATGCCTTTGAAGATCTGGAAAACCCACCTTCTTCGGTGTTGGCTGTCCTCCGGAACCGCTGGCTTTCTGACAGCTTCAAAGAGACGGTGTGTCCCCCATAGACCCCGGTGCAGATCCAATAGGACCCCCGTATCCATGGGGATCAGTTTCAGCGGATGCTGAAAAATGGATTATAGCAAACAACCCTAGACCTAAACATAGTTCCACTCTATATCATAATGGAGAATTGCATCCTACAGAGGCTTCTGGGGGTCATGTTTATCCATTTTCAGGCAAATTGCTTTTCTACCTAAGGAGAGACATCCTTGGGTCCTGTCTTCTAGAACTCTCCACCAGCCACTTTTGACTGCAGCTCCCATGACTAGTGGGGTAAGGATGATAGGAGATGTAGTCTAGCACAGCGGAGGATCCTAGACCTAACTTTGGGAGCGGATGCTTCTCACTGTGAAGTTTCAAGTACATCCTTTGAAAAGGAAAAAGTGTGAGGCATGCCATTATTCTGGATTGGAGGATGATGATGACTCTTGTCCTTTTTAAATTCCAGGCTCTTGCCACTGCCTGCTGGTCGGTTCTGAAAGCCAAGAGGAGGCTTCTGATGGTGAGTGCAGACAGCCCTGAGTTGCCCAAGGTTGGGAACCACGGATATAGAGTGGTGTTTTGACTCCGATGCCCATATGGGCTGCTACGAAGACAGGGGCTTCCCCATCTCAAAAGAGTGGTGGGAGAATGCCGAACTGGTGGGTGGAGCTGCAGGTGCGAATTCTCTCTCTGCTGGGTTTTCTGCCTACACTGCTCTGAATTTCTCCCTCGCTCTTCAACTGCGATTAGGTTCCAGATGGCTTCATTTCCCATTTCTACTCGGTCTCCGAACACGTCAGCCCCGTCCTAGCGTTTGGTTTCCTGGGGCCCAAGGAGCACCTTTCGGAAGTCTGCAGCTTCTTCAAGGTAAGCCTTGCCTGTTTAGAAACGACAGGTATTTTCTGTGCAACAGTGGCGTGGGCCCATCTTAAAGGAAGTCCTTTGGAGGAGGTTGTATGGTGACATTTGGCTTGTTCTTAATGATTTTGGGTTTTCCGGAAAGGGGCAGAACTTAAGATTTGAATACAGTAGGGTTTCTGCATCCATAGGATGCAGGATCTGTGGTTTCACTTATCGGCCGTTTGAAAACATTAAAAATATTAAAAGAAAAACCCCTAGAAATACAGTGGACCCTCGACCTACGGACTTAATCCGTATTGGAACGGTGGCTGCAGGTCGAAAAGTCCATAGGTCGAGGGTCCATTTCCCATAGGAATGCATTGAAAAAGAAAGGTTACTTACCTGTAACTCTGGTTCTTCGAGTGGTCCTCTGTTAATTCACACTAATGGGTATTTCCCATAGGAATGCATTGAAAACCCATTAATCTGTATCTGGCCGGAAAAATAATAATACCCCCAACACACAAAAAAAAATGAAAATAAATACACCTTACCTTTCTGAAGCCTTCCAGGGGTCCGCCATCGCCGCTGCCCGAGGCCTCCGGTAGCGGCGGGAAAGCCCTCGGACCGGGCCTACCAGGGGAGGGTTTCCCCCAGTAGGCCCAGTCTACTGCCCGGGAAAGCCTGGTAGGGTCTGGGACCGTGGTACAGTTTGAAACAAGAGACGTGAAGCTCCTCCGGTGCGCTGCCTTGACAGAAGAATGATCATGTGAATGCAGATTTTGTTTTGCTGCCGGCCCCCCTCTGGGACATAAACCCAACTGGAGAGGAGTGGGGGTGGACGCAGGGGCCCGAAGGTGGATGGCCGATCCTCGTGCGCCCTCCGGACAGAGGCGCACTCGTTCGTCCTGTCCAGCCTGTTTTGACATCCGGTGGTTCTTTTGCAGACGGCGAATCCCAAGTCATCCTGATCTTGCTTTCTCTCCCGTTCTTTCTGCCAGCATCAGATCCAGCAGTATCTGAAGGACATGTTTGACCTGGACATTGTGAGGTACGCAAGTGTGTCCTTGCTTGCCGAAGACATCCTGCAGCTCTCCCGGCGCCGCAGTGAGATTCTTCTGGGCTACTTGGGGGTCGAAGCCCCGCTGGAAATGAACGGCACCACGCCCTGTGACGTTGTACCCCTGGACGACTTCAACTAAGCGTGCTTGTTCAGGCGTGGACGATGCCTTGGAGAACAGACTCCTGCCACCGCCATGTGGCTGAACCAGTGGCAACATTTCTCTCTCCTCCCAGGAACACCTTCAGGCGCCGACTGTGTCTGGAAGGGTCGGTGGGGAAAACCTTCGGGGACTTGGAAGCGTGTCGGTGGCTTTCCTGCCGTGCCTCGTGAATGTTTACGTTTTTAGCAGTCCCGTCTGTTGCAAAACGCACGGGCGAAGCCCTGCCCCGGCCTTGGAAAGCAGCCAGCGCATCAAACCACTACCCCCCCCGAAGTGTATGAGCTGAAATTTGGGGAATGCGCGTCGGACGCTGGAAGGGATGGCCGATTTCACCAGCCCAGTTAGCCCGCTTTCCTGATGGTCTATCGCTTCAAACACAAGGGTTTCCTGTGTTTTTAAAACTGTTTCATTTTTGCAGTGCCTGTCTGTACATTCAAATGCATTCACTCGTTTCTTTTAATTTTACGAATTTATGTGTGTAGCTCTCCAGCGGAGGTTTCTGTAAAGCACTGAGTTAAGAAAATGAAAAAAAAAAAGGTGTTGGCCTTCCTCAGTCTGGTGCCCTTGGACTATCTCTCCTATCTTCCCCAGCCACTGATGGGGATTGTAGCCCTGCATGTCCAAAAGGCTCTTGATTGGGAAAGGCTGCCCCGCAGAAGGCTTTTATGTAAGACAGAAGGTCTGTATTTGGGAAGCTGTGAATTTCTCCTGCCATTGGAGGGCAGTTGCCCTTTGTGTATCTCTGTGTTGTGGTCCAGACACTGGGTTTTTTTTCTCCATCCACTTTGCAGGAGAGGCATCTCTCATAACCTTTCTGCGTTTAGAAATTCATGAACTACACCACCCGGACATCCGGCTGGGAGCAAATTCCTCCAAAACCAAGAAGTTTTATCATTGTACAGTATGCGGGCAGTGGCTTTGTGTTCTTTTCTCGGCCGCTAGGGTGGAAGCACTGCCGTTTAAAAGTGGCCTTTCCGCAAGGTAAGTAGGTCTGGATCGGTCAGTGGTGCCCTGTTTTCCTACCAGGGATTTTTAAATTAAATTTTTCGGCATCCCCGTCCACAGACTGTCCTAGAAACTTTAGCCTGTGCTCAAAGTAGTACTAAAAAATAAAAATGAACACTACATGGAGAAATGGGAGCGAATACTTTCAGAGGAAAACCCCTAGGCTGCTCTTCCTAGAGACAGAGCAAAACCATTGGCAGACGCTGGCTGCTTCTCTGCTCACCAGCAATGGTTAGGATCTGGTCCCGGTTTCCCCCATCTACTGCCCCCTTTCCTGTGCGGTTCCTGGGAACGCCTGTCGTTTTTGTAGGAATATCCTTTGTGAACTTCTGCAGAAAGGTTGGTGGTGGCTGGTCTCCCTAACATCTTATTTCAGCAAAAATCAGTTCCCCTCCCGAAATGGAATTCTTTTTTAAAAGGTTTTCTTATGTTCACTTTGTATTTTATCCGGAGGGAGGGGAAAAAAGTGGCTTT